CCCTACAGGAATAGCACAATCATGGGCATTTTTAGCACACGTTATCCTGCTTGAATTACACTTGCATTCTCCAGAAATTCCTGTCTGGATCCTGTCCGTGTTCCCGAAGCATCAACAGCAGCTGCCTATTTGTCACCTGCTCCCCTCTTTCACTTGCCATTTCTTGCTCTGATTCTTTCCTTCCCTAGTGGTCCATCTTCTGCTCCCTCTCGTACCTCTTTTGAATCTCTGCCTTCCATATGCTTTTCCTGGTTGATGCATTTTTTCCCCTAATCTCTTGGTTTTCCTTGACTTTCTCCCTGCCTCCCATCAGCATGCCAGCTCAGTGCTTACTGTCCCATCTAACAGCTTTCCTGTGCTCTTCTAATTTTAAGATGGGAAAGCAAGTAGTCTTTTTTCACAGATATAATGAATTTGTGCTTCCCGCCTGCCTTCATTGCTCCGTGACCTACGGAACTGCTGGAAGAGAAGCGCGGGTCTCCTCCAGTGCCTGCCTAGCAGGAGCATGTCTTGTAGCTGCTGACTTGATCCCTTACTTGTCTTGCAACTTGTGTGACGGGTCCCTTACTGTTCCCTGGACTCAGCTTTTCCCAGCCCCCTGGTTTCGTCCTGTGTCTCCATAGCTGGCAAGAACTTGCTGTTGTGGGAATGCCTCCTACTCGTGACAAAAGCAAGCTGATGCAGGCTCATGCTGTAAGAAAATGTGTTCCTTATACATGTGCAATAGAGAATATTTAGTGTTTAGTGTTTTCAGTTATCCTCCCTGATCCAATATGCTTTTAAAACAAGCATTTCAGGGGACTGGTCCTCCCTGTTCTGCCCTTGTTTGCAGTGTTCTTCCCCTGACGAGCAGGGAGAATGAACTTCTGCCTTCTCAGAGCTGACCATGCTGTATGAATCAGCCCACAGAACATGTGTGTGTAGAGCCTGATCGTGCCTAAAGAGATCAGGCATCTCTCACAGGATTAGGCCTCTAGAAACACCCTCAGCATCTCGGATCCCAGTTGTGTTGCTCCTGTGCCTAAGCAGCCTCACGTAAACTCAGAAACACCCTCAGCATCTCGGATCCCTGTGCCTAAGCAGCCTCACGTAAACTTTGTGGGACACGTCAAAGGCAGAGCACTCTGTAGTGCTGGGGGCTTCTCATGTTTGTAAGCCTGGCGTGGGTGGTGTTGTTGAAATGTTACTGAGAAGAGAGGGCTCCCAGACCAGCTCCGTGGTGAATGTCCCATCTTCTCTCCCAGTAGGCGTGGATGAAAAGCCAACAATTGCGTTTGCCACGATACCTACAGCCAGCCGTGTGATTCAGACGGTCGCCAGCCAAATGGCACAGGCCATTCCAGGACAGACAGTCACGATCCTTCAGCAGGCAGCTCCGGTGACCATCGGACAGCATCAGCTCCCTGTGCGAGCCGTCACCCAGAACGGGAAGCACGCTGTCCCCACCAACAGCATCACCGGCAGCGCTTACGGTACGATGTGTTTCCACTGCTTGGTTTACCGTTGCTCCCCATGCATTGCAGTTAAGGTATAAAGTTTGTGAGTGTTTGGCTTTTTTAGCTCTGCAAGTCACTGCGTGCGTGTCTGATTCCAAGGTTGTGCACTCTGCAACCTCTGTGGCTGTAAATGGCAGCCATAGATACCGTGACAAATTAAATGTTGACCCCATTCACCTTTGTTTGCTCTGTTTTTCTTAATGGAGGAGTTTGCCATCTGCCTCACTGCTTTTGAAGCATCCAGTCTCTCCCCATGTCCTTGGCTATTGCTACTTGCACTCTCTACCTGTTGAGGGTAACTTGTTGAAAGTGTTAGTGATTCCTGCATTGAGCCTGTTTTTGTTTTCCTGTGACAAACAGCCTTTGCTTTCAGTATGCCTAGCAACAAAATTTCCTTGGTGCTCTTTAAGTATCATGAAATCTGACCCCATAGAGCATTAAGAAAATGACTTGTGCTTTCCCATCATAAGGGCTGAGAGTTTGAGGGGAATAAGACCTTTTTTATCAGGTAGGTGAACAAATGTAGGATTGTTTATATACAGAATGTGTTGTAGTCATTTATGATGCCTTTTGTAAAACCCCATACTAGTTATTTTTGGCTATGTGGAGGTAACGTTTCTTCAGCTGTTTGATTTAGGATTACTGCCAGTTGCTGAGCTTTAACTGGTGACTGCCCTCATCTGTGCCCTGCTTTTTTTTTTTTTCCTTCATCCTCTTGATAATGTAGAGCCTCCTTCCCATGCCTTGGTGGACGTTGCTGGGCTTTGAAGGCCTTTGTTCCATTTTCTTTGTTTATTTATCCTAGGGCTCCTTTTTTGATGCACTTAACAGCGAACACACCATGAATATTGTGTCATTCCATCCCTTGCAAATCACTCTGCAGGGCAGAGGATGTGCCGTCTCCCGAGCCCCCTTTGGCCGCCTCTCCTATTGATGCAGAGTCCAAAAACTGCATGTGTTTTGTTTTCCAAGTAGTGCTGTGTGCCAAAGTCAGTGTGTAAGCACATTCTCCGTCTGGAACTAGGAATCATAGACATTTTTAGGCAGGGTTGCTGCTCAAAACGTCCTCTTTTCTCACCACTTTTATTAATGGGAGGGTGAGAGCCTTTGTCTGGACTGGAATACAAGATAGGAAGCCAAAAATTCCTAAGTTTGAATCCCAGTTCTGATGGGAACACTTAGACCAGACAAAGCAAAAGTTGTTAAACCTTCCTTTTAGAAGTGAGATGTCAACATAGTCGCCGTTTGGCCGGTAATCTAGTTTCTCAGTAGTAGTTTCTCTTTCTTGCTGGCAGCTTCAGAGGGGCTAATGGGGTCCCCCTAAGGTGCAGCACACAACATGTTGTAGCTTGCAAGAGGTTTTGGTTTTTGGGTGATCAGAGAACGACCTCCTGAAGAAAAATTGTCCTGTAACTTTAGCAAAGGAGGGATCCTCCCCACGTGGAGATGAACGCGTAGCTGGCACTGCCACTTTGGCAATGGATGGAAAGAAGGAAGCCCGCCACGAAAGGAATATTGCCAGTTTGGTAAACTGGTACAAAGCTGAAATTACATCAGGAGACAGACAAGGCTAGCAAGCCTTGAATGGATTTGAAAAAAAAAACCTTGAATATGTGCCGGTTATCTCCTTTGACTGTGGTTTTGTTTCTTGTTTTCTGGAATGGGGAGCATTTGCATTACTTTGTACGTTAATGCACTTTTCTCTCTTGTTTTTTTTTTCCCTACTTCCCAGCTCTTACAAATCCACTGCAGCTTCTTGCAGCACAGGCCAGCTCGTCCACTCCTGTTGTAGTCAGCCGGGTATGCGAGACGGGGACCGAGGAGACAGCAGCAGCCCCTGCCAGTGAACCCGAAGTCAAAAGACCCCGGATAGAAGAGCCCAGCGGAGCGGTCCCAGCCCAAACTGGTGTCATCACATCTGCAATGCCACAAGGACAGGCAACCAGTGAATGAAGAACCGGTGGGAAGAGCTGGCATGGTGCGGGGTGGGCATGGGATGGCAGCAGCCCCTAAAGCAGCTTTCAGAGAAAACAAGCCACAACTGTAACAGCTTGAAACATAGAGAATAAAAAGCTCTTTTTAAAGCCAGATTTTTTAAAATGGGAGGTCAACAGCTGTTAGAATCACAAGGTGCCAAAAAGAATGAAAAACTCCTCCCAAGAACCCATATCTGGAACTCTGTTCCGTCTTTACCTATGGGATATTTTTCCTCCCTTTTTTTTTTTTTAAGATTCCAAAAAAAAATATACAGACAACTGATTGGAAGACTGCTGGGATTTTTTTTTAAACTGTCTTTTCCCCTTTTGGCTCCAAGGGGATGGGATTTGCAGTTCAGCATCTAAAGGAATGTAACACAGATACAGTCTGCTCCCTGGAAAGAAAACTCCTAATTTTTTTATGCCTTAATACTCAGCTTCTCAGAGCTTTGAAATGTAGGACCATTTAAAAGGGCCACTTAAGGCAATCAAATGCTGAAAGATGGGTGCAGTATCTCACAACAGCAGCATTAAAGAAACATGGTACCAAGCTTAAAGAAAAAGGCAGAATGGTGTTTTTTTTAATAGAAAAATTCTGAATATGAATGAATGTTTATTTATGTGGGGATTCAGGAGGAAGAGTTACACAGCTCAACCCCCTGGATTTCCGAACGCAATTTCTCTCCATTCCCTCTGAGGGAGAATAAGGTAACAGAGGAACTGTATTAATTTGGTTCCTGAAAAGAAATTAAAAACAAAGGGTTTTGTACCTTCAATGTTTTCTTACAATTATTCATCACTTTTTCTGGACTTCAGCCTAAGTATCTTGATGACTGAGGGGCACGTGGGGCCGGGCGTCTCTGAAATGTTCTGGGTCTGTCCTGTTTCCTTTGAGCACACTCCATGCCGGAGCGCTAGCTGGGATTTGTTTAGAGTAACATTGGAGAATGAAGACGTTGTCTCTGAGAACCTAAGGAAACAGCAGTTGGTCTTGTGCACTCAAGGATTCTGCTTTCATCCCTGCTAGAAACACGGACCCCCAGCTTGAAGACTCGTGGTCAGAAGGGCAGAGTTGTCTCTGTCCCTCTGCCCTAGGGTGGCAGCTGGGCTCTGTGACACTGCAGGGAGGGAGGGGAAGTGCTGGGTGGGAGGCAGCAGAGCACACGGGTGGCATTTAATACAAATGCTGTAAATGCAGACAGTGAGGATGAAGAGGCCTTTTGTTTTCTGTGAGGGCAAAGTCATTTGGGCACCTCCAAGTTCAGTTTGGAGAACTGGTTTGGGGTGCTCTTTCATTCCCCGACTCCCTCTCCCATCACTGCCATCACGCATGTGTGGTTGGCCAGTAGGAGAAGGCTTTTTCTTCAGCTGTGTTCCAGGCTCTGTGCGTAGAACATCTCGCAGGTCGAGCAGATCCGAGTCACTTGGACCACGTGGCCAGGCAGGTGTGTGTCACATGCCGTGTGACTGGCAGAGAAACCAGCCTCTCCTTAGCCTCCAGGTATCCCATTTGGTTTGACACGTCTGATCCCTTTGGCTAACACATCTTCTGGCTGCACAGCAGGTATCTTTTAACTTGGAGAACTTCATGGTTTTGGTAACGGCAGAAGATACTTAGGAGATGTGTCCTGGAGGTTCTCCCTCCACCTGTACTGACTTACTGTGGGGTTATTGGCATCTTGTCCCCTCTGAGAGCAGCAATCTTGCTGTGTAACCGTGCTGCAAGGTCTTCCCCAGTCTGCAGTGAATTATATTTTCAGGAAGCAAAGCATGACAGTTCAGTGCCTGCTAGAATTGGAAAAGGAAAGAAATCCAAGAGGTAACAGCTGGTATCACTTGGTCCCTTCTAGGCTTCCTTTCTCTCTGCCACATCCTGTTCAATAGGCAAGTCCCACCGCTTGCGTAAAACCCAGGGTTGTTTTGTTTTCAAGTCTATTGTTTCGTGAGAAATACTTCTGAGAGAAGGGAAGAATTTCATGGGCTCACGATTTGTAGCTAAATTGCACAGTTACAGGCACACAAAGTATCCAGGACAGCCTACACCTAGTTCTTGTAATTTAGGTGTGTGGCCTTGGTTGTTAGATGAGATTTTAGTACTTGAGAATGACTTTGTGAATGAGGATTGCTACCAACCACAACATAATTGCAGCAGGCCAGCCTGCAGGTTCCCTTTACTGCTAGGAAGACTAGGTGTCGCAGAGTGAGGAAGCACACGGATTAATTCCGTCTCTTCTAAAGCCTCTTTAAAACCAGATTTTATTAAAAGGGGCTTCAAGGAAGCATGCAGGAGGGAGAGCACAGCATCCTTTATCTCTGAGGAAGCAGTGGGTTGGGGTGAGTGCTGCTGTAGATACAGACATGCCTCTGAAGCAACCCTGAGGTTATCGAGCTTTGCTGAAAGAGATTACTTGGTTTTCCTGTATGTTAGGCGAGTCAGCGCAGGATGAGCAACCAGAAGGAGCAACTGTTCAGGACATGGAGCTGACCAGGGTTTTTTTTTTTGTTGGTTTTTTTTTTTTTTTTTTAATCCCTTCCACCCATGCATTTCTTTTTTCTTTTGAAAAGCAAATAATTAGTCAGGGCCTGAACTTCTATAAACTAATACAATACCATAGAAAAACACCAGCTGACTTGTGATGTTTTCATATTATAAAGCTTTCCAGTTTCCATCTCTAACTGGAAATTAGAACCACTAAATTTTGTGCTGAGTTGAAAGTCCTAAATGAAGTCTCCAATTTGAAACTTTTTGAAGTCTTGTTTTCCTTTGTTTCTTTCTAGTGGCACAACTCTTCCTGTACAAGGTATCAGTCCTGATTCTCCAGGCTTTCAATTTTGAGCACTGCAGAGAGCAGGAAAGGGAGAACATCACAGGATGTGATGGTATGTAGAATGAGGCTTTCAGCTAGAAAGAAAAGGTTGTCTTAATGGTTCTTTGGAGTACTTGGGATAATCTAAATGTGGTTATCTGTGACCTTTTTTTGCCTAACAAGTTGACTCTCATGTCCTCACTTACATTAATTGATGCAGGCTTAAAGGGCATCATTTTGTGCCATCATCTTCTGCTCTGTGGATAGGAAAGGTCACAGCATATCAAATATTTGCTCTGCTATAATTGCTCTGTGGAAATTTAAAAAATGAACTAAGAAAAAGGCAGCTCAGCTAACCCGAGCTTTCTTGCAATGTTATTTGCTGCCTGCTGGAGGCATTAAACTGGAGTTGGACTTTTCCTCAGTGCTAGCAAGGAGGTTTCCAGGAGGTTTCCCAGTGAACTACCAAATAGTATTTGGTATTGCCCTACCACGAGTTAGCGTGTGGCTGAATGTCAGAATGTGGAGTGAAGGGACAAGTGTCTCCCCACTCTACCTAGGTGTGGGATCGAGGGTGACGAGGGACTAATCTAGCAATAGTTCAACTTCTGTACCTCTCACTTCAGGATCGAACGCATTTCTTCAAAATTGCTGCACTTAAGGATTAAATCCTTACTGTCTAGTTGTTCCCCTCTGTTTCTCAGTTTTAAACTATGTCTCATAGGTCACAGTTTCGCTGTGATGAACATAAATTACATAAAACTGCAGTACTGGATAAAATCTCCTTCTAGCTCTCAGCTGTGTCTGTGCCCAAAACTGGACACACATTCCAGATATGGTCTCACAGATGCTGAGTGGAGTAACACAAATCACTTTCCTTGACCTGCTGGCTACGCTTTTGAGAGTAAAGACCAGTACATATTTGGTCGCCCTTGCTCAAGGACACGCTGCTCACTCATGTTCCACTGCTCTGAGTATAGTATGAGGAATAGAGTCACAAAGAGAGTTGGAAATACTCTGGGTTGCGATTGTACATATGCCACCAACTCGTTGTTCTCCTCTAAGAAATGAGGTCTTGTGCTTTACTCTAGCAAATGATGGCTTCAATCCAGTGTGGAGCCTTGCGTTGAACTCCTATCTTGATCCAGGGTTTTCTGGGTTGGTTTACTGCTGCTGGTGAACTGGACTTGGGCATTAAGAATGAACCTCTAAAAGGAACATGACGGGCTTCATAGGTTTGTCATTACAATACACTGAGCTTTTGCATTCACAGATGTCATCCAGCAGCAAATGATCTGTCTTTCCATGTCAACCAGCCTCTCAGACAGCTCTTGTTCCTGCTTTCCTTTCACAATTTGTTTCTTCTGTTTGTAGGTGTTTTTATCCATTCCAGAGTCCCTTAATCCTGGTTCTAACTTAATACTATTGCTTGGAAGTCTGTATTGTTAGGTTGCAAGAACAGGTATTTAACTTTTCATCTGGGTGAAAAAATATTTCAAAGCTGCTATTTTTATAGCATACACTACTGCCATGAAGCGTAGCTTGCGATGGAGCCAGTTGTCGTGCTGCAAAATACAGTGACACTACAAGGTGAGCTGGAGTGCTGGGACTGATGAGCTTGGGCAGGGATGTTTTCTGGCATTTTGGTCTATATCTGGTGAAAACACAGCTGTGACTTGGTGTTGGAGCATCTCCCCATACGCAACTGTCTGGCAGCAGTTTGTAGCTACTTAGATGAGCAGTCGTCGTCTTTGCTAGATGCATTATATGCAGGACAGAGTATGAGCTTGTTCACACAGGAGTGTGAATATACTTATATAGTAATCAAAAGTGGAAAGCATCTCGCTGCGAGGATCTCTCTTAGATTCTTTTATGAAGCCGTAATATGACCATGAACGTTTTACTTTGGACCGAGCAAAGTATTTGAAAAAATACTAGCTTTTCTTGGAGCACTATATTTAAATTCCAAAATTATAATCAACTTGACTTTTAACCTTTGTATTTATGATATCTTCGGAAAATTCTTTTGATACCTTTTCAATTTGTCGACCCTGAATTAAAACCTTTTTGAATGTATGGCTGGGCCTCTCCTCATATGTCACTTTAGTTCCAGAGCTGGGGGGTAGCTGTGCCAAGACTTCCCCTTCACTCACAAGGTAGATAAAACCATTGACAATTCATGGGTGGCAGCTAAGGAAGAAACCTTTTAAATATTTTTTTCAGAGAATATTAAATTAGCTCTGTGTAAACATAAATTTTATATTTATTAATGTGTGTGCGTGTGTAAATATAGATATATAAATGGTCCATGACCATTTCTTTCTCTTAAATGGTACTTTACACAGACTTTTTTTATACAGTTTGTTGGTAAATTCCCACACCGAATGCTGAGCCTAAAAAAAAAAAAGAAAAAAAGAAAAATGTACCTATTTTTGTAAGAAATATGGGCAGCCTGCAGAAGCAGCTCTGCTCCAGCGGCTGCTCTGGTTCCTCTCTCAGCAGAAGAGCCCTCTTGGCGCTTGCATCCTCCTCGTGCCTCACGTTGGCAGAGAAATCCCCAAAAGGGCTCTAATGAGGGCCAGGATCCTCGTTAGTCTCGGACGATCTCTAGATGCAGAGCCTGGAGGCCCTGTGCAGGTTCTGCGCTAAGAAGCAGGGCCTGATTCCTAACACAAATTAGTTGCGGGTCCATGAGGATGCTGAAGGCTGAGGAGATGCTCCCTGTCTCTATCAGGTGGGTAAGCGCTGGGGCGCTATGAGACAGTGTCTTTTCCTCTGTGGTGAGATTGTGTTCCTCTTAGGATTCCTCAGTCTCTCTTTATGGGGCCAGAGGTGTAGATACCCCTTTGAAAATAAATACATAAGCATTTTTTCTAGTGTTGCCATTTAGAGAGTAAATTTTACCTTAGTTGGTCAAATTTCAGGCCTGGTTTAACTCCACATGGATTACTGCATTTGCAGGGCATTTCAACCCACTTGGGCCCTTGGGGAATTATTCATAAAAGCAGATTATATTTGCCTTTGTAATCCTAAGAGCTCTATTAAAAAGATAAAATAAAAAGTCGAGTTGCAGTTCTCTGTAGGGGCCTCACTGAATGCTTTTCCTGGGTTTCTGCTGAATATCTGGCGGTTAGGTTTGATCCCCAAGGGAGGATAAGGCTGATGATAAGGGGTGTAGCCATAAAAAACCATCCCTTGGGAAAACCCGGCTTCCCATGGGGTTCTCCTGCTGCTTCGTGTCTGCACCGAGTTACACAGAGGCCGCGTCCTGGCCCCATCCTGGCACCTTATTCATGTTCTGATCCGTTCAGCCTCACGTCTGCCTCACTCAGTTGTGTTCAAAGCAGTCCAAAGCAAACCCTTGCTTAGAGGTAAGGGCAATATTGAGGAGAAATGTCTGTTAGCCAAAAGAGATTTTAACTGAGCAGAAAAGATGAGGTTTCCTTCTGTTTCATTACTTTGCTGCTATAGTCTGGTGCGGAACATGCTGATGTTCTGGCTGACGTGCTGCTCGTTGGATGTGGACAGGCTGCTGAGCAGGCAAGCCGGCTCTATAGCATGTGAACTGCTGTAAACCTAAACACCCTATAGCTCCTTCCCCCCAGAAATGGTCTTCGGGAGCCAGAATGCTGTTGGTTGTAAGATCTTCTTACAAAAGCAACAGAGAGTGCGTAAGTTTTATTAAATATATCAGTATGGAAAGCTGCAAACTGTGGAAAAACAGAATGGTTTGAGAAAATGATTTTTTTTTACGACTCAGCTCTGAGACAGTGTGTCCTGCTGGGACCGGGCACAGTGTCCACGCTGACCGCGCCGCCGTTCGCCGATATCCACGGGACTGATAACGCCTGCTTGGTAACTCAGACACGGATGCAAGCAGTGGATGGGAGCGCTGGAAGTCCTGCTCAGATCTGGAATACTGGCTTCGCCGCTCTCCCTGCCATGCTGTGTGTGGATACAGGAACCCTTTGGGGAAGGCAAGAGCCGCGCGTCCCTTTCCCCTCTCGCATGGATTTGGCACTTAATTTAAGGAACCTTATGGGGAGAGTGAGGGGAAGAGGAGACCTCAAGCCATGTCTGCTTTTTGGCTCCTGGTTTTGCCTGTTGGAGACACCTCCAGGCAGATTTTTGTTTTGTTTTGTTTTGTTTTTACAGCTGATAACAAAAAATTTCTTTCTTTTGTGACCGTGTTTGTAAGCAGTGCTTTTTACAAAGCAGGTGCGTATCCCACCGGGGCAGTGCCGGGAGGTGATCTGGGACCCCCGTGAGACACTGGGGACACTGGGGACACGTGTGCGGCTCCTGGAAGTGCCAGCAGCCATGGAGCAGGACCTGCCCCTCCGCACCAAGCAGGATACAGGTTTTTGGGTTGTTGTTAAATACGGAGCCATACTTTTTTTTTTTTTTTTTTAAGTAATTCAAGATCTGAATGTGATTTCTAATGTACCAAGAACGTTAATATTTTAAAGCTATAACAAAGTTTTGAATTTCTACTTTTTTTCATTTATTTTAACTGTTCTGTTACCTGGATGCGATGTATGTGGCTGAGGAGTGTTGCTTCTCCTCCTAGCATTTGTTTCTATAACCAGAAATAAAATTATATATGAAAGAGAAGATGTCCCGACATCTCTTGCTCCTTTCGAGGACCTGTGTGCTCCTGCTGTCACCTCCCCTTGCCGAGGGCTTGGGCTTTTGTCTTACGATGACACCCAACATCCCGTCGTCTCGCAGCTTAAACCATCTTGCTGTAATTTCCTGTAATTTATAATAATTGTTTACTTTAAATAGTTGAGCACAGAAAAAGTTCTGCAGGAAAGTGCTGTAGGAAAGTTCTGTAGGAAAGTGCTGCAGGAAAGGCTGCTGTGTTAGTAGCAGTAAGAAGAGATGGGTTTTAATGGGGAAATGTTAATGCCTTTTTAATGGGGAAACGCTCATTTTGGTGGATCTTGGGGACACTACGTGGCCCCCTTGCATGGCAGCTATTATTTTTAGCTTCCTTCTTGCCCTTTCCGAGAGCATCTTTGTTCAGATGCCCCCAGACCTCGAGGGGGTTTGGGGAGGGGGGAGATGCCCCCCGTCCAGTGGAGGGAGGCAGTGCTGCAGCTGCCCCCTTTCCCCCGGGCCGGCGCGGCGGGCGGACCCTTCGTGCGCCGGCAGCCGCGTCCTGCCGGAGCCAACCCGGCGCGTACCGCCCTCCTCCGGGGGGCCGCTTTGTCGGCGCACCGAGGCGGCGGGCCGGGGCGTTGTGATGGCGGCGGCCGCCGAGAGCCTCCTCAGGCAGGCGAGGTACCGGGGCGGGGGGAGCGGGGCCCCGGAGCGGCCTGAGGGAATGGGGTACCGGGAGGCACCGGAGCGGGTGTCTGAGACAGAGGGAAGGGGGGCGGCCTGAGAGAACGGGGTACCGGGAGGCACCGGAGCGGGTGTCTGAGACAGAGGGAAGGGGGGCGGCCTGAGAGAACGGGGTACCGGGAGGCACCGGAGCGGGTGTCTGAGACAGAGGGAAGGGGGGCGGCCTGAGAGAACGGGGTACCGGGAGGCACCGGAGCGGGTGTCTGCGGTACCGGGCCTCCGTCAGGGAGATCTCGGCGGAGGAGCTGGGCCGCTTCGTGTCGCACGTGGCCGCGCTGCTGCGGAGCCGCCACCTGGGCGCCGAGGCCGTGGACTGCCTGCAGCGCCTGCACCTCGTGGTGGCCGCCACCAAGTACCCGCGCAGGTGAGAGCGCCCCTGCCCTGCCGCAGGGCCAGACCCGCCTGGCACCCACCCCCCAAAAGAAAGTTCCCTGCCCCGTTTGAAAACACCAGCCTGGATGTACGGGTGAAAATCCCACCTGCCTGCCCTTCCCTTGCAAGGAGAAAATCGTCTGCTTTCGCAGCGAACGTAACTAGTGTTTGCCAGCGCCTGCCCTTAAGTTGCACTAAGGGAAAAAGAGAAATTGGAAGCGTAGAGAATAAGTAGTTTGGAGCCGCTGTCAAAAGAGATCATCCCGAGACCAAGGATATGCAGGAAATAAGCGTCTGCGTTTTTCCTTGCCTGGCTGTGATGTTTTGCCGTGGTTCTTGCAGGCTGGATGGCAAGTTCGTGGAGCTGCTGCAGACGGTGCTGTGTCTGCCCACGTGCCCGGAGCAGGTGCAGGTTTTATGTGCTGCCATCCTGAGGGAGATGTCGCCGTGCGACGAGCTCGTCCTCTCCTGCGATGAGGTTCAGGATCCAAAGGTCCTGAGTCTGGTATCCTCCGTCCTTTTGGCTCAGGTAAGTAACCCATCATATTGGGAATCTTCCCTCATCAAAACAGATTTGCTTTCTGATTTTTCCCTGTCTGCTGAGCTCAAGGAAGGTGAAAGTCCGCTACAGGTCTCTGTCTAGGAGACACCAAAATTCTTTCCACATTGGTGTAAGGAACCTAATGATTCTGCTTTGTGTAAATTCTTTCTTGTGCACAGTGCCTGATATCAGATTGCTTAAAAATGTGCTGTGTATATGAGTAATAGTCTTGTAAATGGAAGTGGAAATGAACATTTTCATGCTAGCTGCTCTGTAAGACTTTGAGTCAAGGCTGCTTGCACCTGCAAGGAAAAGATTTGAAACGGAATTTATTACTACTGTTTTTTTTTTTATGGTACTGGCTTTCACAGTCAGATACAGAATATCACACATAAAACTTATGACAATATGGGGCTGTAAATGTGGATGTTGTTTCAAAGTTCTAGATTAGTCACGGAGAAGAAACCATTATGATGTTCCTGTTTTTAGCGCTGCCTCGTGGGCTGTCCTCTGGGAAATAAGCTAGAAACAGTTCTTTCCCCTTCCTTTATATGGTATTATCATTGCCTGTTTGAGATAAAAGGACAAAGTGGATGAGTTTCCAACATGACATTTCCTCTCTGGAAGCTCACCTGAAACTCTCTAGTTCTTTCTAGTGATGAGGTACAAATCTGAGCAGATACAGAGAGCAACCAGCTGTCAAAACCCCTGAGCACGCAGAGAAGGTTCCGTGGTTTTGTTGGTGTTCATGGGGAAAGCAAACCTCTCAAAAGGCTGGTCCATCCGCAGTCGTCTTGCCCAGAATGGTTTGACAGTCTCTCCAAACTGCAGCTGTAACAGCTTCCGAAAGGGGAAGCTGCTTTATTTTCCTTCTTCTGAGGATACTGACTGCACAGAGAGTCCGACAACAATCTGCTTTATGATCATAAATTTCTGATTTAACAATCGAGCTAGTAAATTGACCACATGGGGAGTAGTTAGTGCTGGTACTCACTATGCTAGAACTGATGGATGAAAGTAGCATTTAATTTGAAGACATCTATTGCAGCTGTTAATTTCCACTTTAGGTGACGGTTGTCCGCAAACTTGTTGTTTCAGTGAAGTATTCCTCCCTGCTGAGAGCTATAAATTCACATTACAGAAGAGCTCTGTAAAGCATAGTAAAATAGCCTGTATTATAACCCTCTTTACCTTAGATACTGGCATTACTACCTGATGGAAATGTTCATAAGGTATTGGTCCAGGCCCTTGTAGGAAATTGCCTCCCTAGCTTTACCTTTGCTTTGTTTTTAAGGACAATAAGAAATCTGAAGTGTCTGCTGTGGGGCAGCAGGTTGTGAAACTTCTCGAAGGGAGGTTGCCAGAGGGTCAGAGTTCCCGGCACCTTCTTCCTGTCCTGTCCAATGTCATCAGTCTTTCACCAGAAGCTCTAACTGAAGGTCAGTATAGGAGGGCCTGAACTTAGGTGTTCTGAATGCTTGGGCTGAGATCGTGGCTTGGAAACTGATGTTATAAGTGATCTCTTACTTATGAGATCCTTTACAATTGATGTCACAGGGAAAGTGAACTGCTTGAGTAAAACATATACCATTGTTCTAAAATTGTACTGGGCCCTCAGGTGCTGTCATCCCTCCTGGGAGACAGACAGAGACCCTGTTCTGTACAGGTTCATAAGCATCATCTTAGTAGATGTCTCCAGCTACAATAAAAGTATGAATCTGTAGCTATCTTGAAGAGCATCGGGCCAGGTGGTGAGAAGTGAAGAGTTGTGTCTGTGTAGCTGTTCAGGAGTTGTGTCAATTCAAGCCTTTTAAGCAGCTGAAACCAGCTACTGCATGAATATATTTGAAGGTATTCTAGTACCTTCCCCCTTAAGGCAGCTGCGGTTAAAGGCACGACAAAACAACAAGTGTCTCTGGACTGATCTAGTACTAGTTCTTGGCTTTAGTACTCACTTCCTGATTTTTTTCTGACAATGATGAACTCAGTGGCTAAGAAGAAGAGAAGGACACAGAGTTTCGAGATGGGTAAATGATCCTAGACTCTGAAATAGCATGAGGAGGAAAGGGCATCTGCCTGGGGGTGTCCATTTCTTTGCTGAGTGCTGGGTAAGAGAGGTCTAGACTGCTCAGCAACTGAAAGGCAGCTGCAGAGTGCAGCAGAGGCCTCTTCTGCATGTGCTTTAGCAATGACCTCGTGACTTTCCCTGTACAGAGCAGATCAATGTGGTCAGTAAAAAGATGGTCGACTGGCTGAGGTATGCGAGCACCCAGCAAGGAGTCCCTCAGTCCTCTGGAGGCTTCTTCTCCAACCCCAGAGCAAGACAGGTGAGTGCTGCCTTGCTGTGGTCTTCCCACAGGGGCATTTACTAGTTCCCAATTCAGCTGCCGCTCTTTGTTTCTTTGTCTGGGGGAAGTGGTCAAGACACAGGAACTCAAAGCAAGGGGGAATTATAGCCCCACAATTTAGGACATGCTGTGGCGCCAGAACTTTGGCCCATGAAGCAGGTGTGAGGGAGTGTCTTTTGGTGATCATGTACCTTGAACTAAAGATATTGCAAATGGGGCCTTTTTTGGATCGAGGGAAAGTGTTTGGGGTGTCTCTGCTAGGGAAAATGAATGTAAAATTCAGCAGTTTTCTCTGTCTGGAGAACTGTCCCTCTGCAGGCCCCAAGGTACATACAAATAAGGACTGCTTGTCTCCATGGGGTAGGTGAGCTCTTGCTTAGACTCTCCCTGGGAATCTGACCTAGTGCATCTTTCCTCCCAGCCTGGCCCTGTGACGGAAGTGGACGGTGCCATTGCCACAGACTTCTTCACAGTGCTCTCGCTGGCTCAGCACTACACAGAAGACCAGTGGCTCAACATGCAGGCCTTCTCCATGCTGAGAAAGTGGCTGCTCTGCTATGGGGGCGACGGGCTGAGTACCCCTGATTCAGGTGCCAACTGAAAGTCTGCGGCCGGTGTCGATTGCACCCCCAGAGCAGTGTGTGTCCTGAGCTCATTTGGTGGCAGAAACCCTGCAAGTGGCAGGGTCTGGGCCTGATAGCTGTAGGTTGCAATTCAGGGCTCTTTCTGTAAGAGCAAGAGATACTTGGGAAGTAGTATCACAGAACCTCCAAACTGACCCCTCAACAAGGAGTTACTTGTAGAGTAGTTCCCAGGATTTTGGGAGAACTTGCTGTGGATCTCTGGGAACACAGTTCTGGGTGTTGGGTGACAGCATCTCCCTAGCGCTACCAGAGCGATACCCATGTCCCTGCTTCTCCAGGCTCCTTTGCCTCCCAGTTCACCTGGTTACAGACAGCTCCCTCTCTGTTGCTGGGCACCTCTGTGGGTTACACTGTCCTTTGCTTGCCTGATACCTGGTGATCTTTCCTTTGTAGATGACAGGTCAGAAACGGATGGCTCTGTCATGTCCTTGGTCTCAGTTACATCCACATCCAGTCACCTGCTGCCCCCAAAGGAACGTCTGAGGGAAAAGGCCTTTGAGTACTGCCAGCGGCTCTTGGAGCAGAGCAACCGCCGTGAGTCCTGCCGTGAACTGTCCTCGGTGCCTCCTTGGGCTTCTTCCTCAAAATGCTTCTGTTTTGTGCCCATGGGGACTGGGGTCTCTCTGCCTAGAGTGGAGAGCTAGAGTCTAGGCATGGGATCAGCTTCGGCTGCTGGTGCAAGTCGTTGACCAGCCTTGAGCTGGGGTGTTGGGAGGGATTTGGAGGCAAAGTCCATGTTCTGCTTCCTGTCCTTGATTTCCAGGGAATGTCTTCATATTCTCTGTTTCTTGGCTTTCATTAATCCAAAGCCTGAAATCGGAACTGTTATTTCCTCTCAGCTATCCTGAAATCTGGGCCTGTGCAGAAAGTGACGGACTAATGTACCTGTTTGAACGCAGAGTTTAACTTCGATTTCTTTCTCTCCAGGGGCCCTCAAGAAAGATGATGAGGAACTGCAGAAAGCTGTAGGTACACCGAGGAGGGACCAGAGCTCTGGGAAATGGATCTCTCCCACTTCCCTCTGCAGTTTCTGACCTGGCTCTTTGCTCCCCTGCAGTGTCTCATCGAGGCGGTGACGATCCTGGACATCATCTGCAAACAGGACACTTCCTATGTGTACCGCACGCTCTCCTCCATGAAGATGCTGCATGACAGAATCAGTGGGGACGTCAGCTACGCCAGGGCGCTGCTGCCCATTGCCCAGTACTTCCTGAACCACAGTAAGTCGGCAGTGCTCACCCCTGCTCCACACTCTAGTCGTGCATGTTCTCAGCACAGCCTTTTGTCCTGGTTCCAGGCTGCCAGAGCTGGTAGTTCAACCTTGGTTATGCTCCAGAGTGGGTGATGCCTCTCCTGGAGACGCTGGAGCTGTGCTGCCCTGCACTCTGGGTTAACATACCTCAGATCTGGGCTTTACGTAGCCATTGAGTGTGTGCTGTGCTCAGGTTGTGCTCTGTCCTCCCAGGTGAGATGGCAGCTGTGGACTCTGATGCAATCTACAAACACTTATTCACTGAGATCCCAGCTCAGCTCTTCCACAACCAGCCACTGGCCTTTGAGTTCATCCTGTTCTGCAAAGACAACAGCCAGCTCTTCACTGACACCTCCAGCATATTCAGACAGAGCTTCCCAAATCTCTTCAAGGTACCTCTTGCTGGAGCAGCACAGTGGGAAGCCTGTTGTGTGTGTATTTTGGTGCCCTCCAGAGCCCTCCAGATGTCTGATGGTGCAGTTCAGAGCCCTCCCTGTTCCTCTGTGGCACTGCTAGAAAGTAGCTAGATTTAGCAGCTAGATCAGGCTGTGGTGGAGGGGAAGGTCTGGCTTTTGGCACAGACCAGATCCCAGAATGTTCCTGACGAGTTTATTTCCTTCCTATGGAGTGCACTGAGCTTGGGTACCAATTTTTAGAGGCTATGAGAACTTAATTTACTTGCAAATTCTCAAGACAGATCTTGAGATCAACCCTCATAAAAATGCTCACAAAGGAGCTTGTGGTGCCCTCCTGTTGGGAGATGGCCAAGGAAGGCCCTCCATGCTGGGTCAGTGAGCACAGCTAAGAGCCAGCTCTTTGTTTCTGGAAGACTTCAATAAGTTGCAGCTTGCCAGCCACTGAACCAGCTGCCAGGAACCCGTGATGAACTACCAGCAGCCTCCCCAGCTCTTCATGGAACTCTCAGCTTTCTCTCTTCTTGCTTTTCACATGTGACTTTCTCTTCTCCATTCCCTTTGGTCTTAGTCGGAGAATCAGCTGGGCCACAGGGCAGAGTGACAGGGTTAGTGCAGCAATTGGTGTTTGTTCCCTGCAGTTTCTGGCTTGGAACAGCCCATCCCTTATCTCTGAGTTTGTGGACCTTCTTCCATTTCTGCTGGATGCAGGCACAGCCGTTGAGATCTTCCATTTGCTACTGGATCTGCCCTGTTTGACAGCAGCTCTGGACATCCAGCTGAGGTAAGGCTGCCTTTCCCTCCTCTTGCTTGCTAATCAGAGTCTTGACATTGGCCATAGCATAGCCAATTTGTGGTCATGAATGCAAATGTAAGTTCCCTCTTAAGGTCAGGAGGGTCTTGAGGAGTCTCTAGGGAGACTGGGACTGGGATAGACATAGGACTGGGACTGACTGTCACAGATGTACCCATGCTCTTCCTTGTCTTCCTTGATATTAGCACCACTTTTTGGAGCCCTTAGAGAAGCAGGAAGTTGGTGGGCTATGAGGGACACAGAGCACCATTTCCTTCTTTCTTAGGAGGGATACAGGAGCAATTCTGGAACTACCACCTGAGCCGGGGGGCTGTGGTTGGGCTGGGGGCTTTTACTCAGAATTCCTGCCGTCCTGGTTTTCTGCCTTCCAGGAGACTTGGTCTGGGCTGGCTGGCTGTCCCTGTTTCAGTGGCAGGGTAGTTATCATCCAGGATCCCAATCAAGGTCCAGCCTGTTTCCCCACCACAGCCTATACTGTGTGCCTTCTGCCAGGTCCCCCTCTCCCTCTGCTTCTGAGAAGGCAGCCTGTGACCCAGCTGTGAAACCAGCGACCTGTTTGGAGGCCTTTCGCCACCCCCTCTACAAGAGCACATTCCAGTACCTCCTGCGCATCGAGTCAACCCCCGAAGACCCCCCGGAGAGGTAGGGGCAGCCGCAGGGGGGGTTGGCTGAGCCATCCACATCTGGAAGGCAGCACTGCGGTTTGGCAGAAAGGTGTAGCTGCTCTTAGCTGGCATCAGCTGCGGTGCGCTGGGCTGGGCCTTCTGGTGTTCTCTTTGCCAAGTGCTCGCAAGTCTTGTGGGGGAGTATGGAAGGGAGAGCTGGATGAGTAGCTACGATGGAGCCTGCTTCAACAGTAGCTTATCTGTTGTCCCCAGTCTGATTCCTCTTCGGCAGCTGCTGGGACCCCTGGCCAGCAGCCCCAGGGTCGTCCAGTGTGCAGAGACCGTCCCTGTCCTACTGGAGCTCTTCTTCAGCGTGGTGACAGAGGTAGGCACTCTTGAGGCAGTTTGGCTCCTGGACATGCTGGGCAGCGGATCTCTTGTTACATGGATAACATCCATAAAGGCCAAAGTGTTGAGATTCTGCAACCTTGACAGAGGGATGAATGAAGGGAGGGTGAAGTGGACTAATACTGGCATGAACATAGGCTGAGACAGCTGCTTTATCCAGAGAAGCAAAAAGCTCCGTGGTGCAGCATCGGTGTTCGTGCTTTCTCTCCATAAAACAGACAGGCAGGAGCAGAATGAGTGCCTCTTGGCTGCTTCGTTCCTCTTGCTAAGCTGTTTCTGCGCCAGCTTAGTCTTGTCTGGTTGGGTAGTTTGGATTTTGGCTGCTGAGCATCACTAATACAAAAGCTGTGTCTCAGTTTGCAGATAAACCCCTGATAAACCAGCTGGTACTGTTGGTGCTGCAGAGGAGTGACCAGCTCTACGAGATCCCAGCGTTTAAAGATGATGTGTACAGGTGAGATCAGCCAAGCAGTAAGTTGTGCTGCTCTGCACACTGTTTTGGGAATGTGCCTTAGGGTAATCACAAACCTGTGTGCCTATGGCCAGATGAAGCTCATACCTCTTTGGTTCAGCCATGACCTGAGTGTTCCCCACTGCTCTCCCTTAGGGCACTGAGCTCACAGCTGATCACCCTCTGCAAGTTGCACCCTGCACTCATCGTGGAACTGTCCAAGGAGCTTCTGGATTTCTCAGGATCCGTCAGCAACATCCGGAACAAGGAGCCCCTCTTTACCCATGTGGTAAGTGGGGCCTGCCCACTTCTGCCACGGGATGTTCCAGCTATGGTGCATTTTCTGGTCGTCTTCTTTTTCCTTCATCTTAGTGCTGCCTAATCCAATTTGCCGTTCCCTAAAAAGGATTCAGTGCCCTTTGCTTCAGCTTGTCCTGAGTGCATCTGCCTTTGTTTTAGGTGTGGGCTATTGGAGAGTACCTGTCCGTGTCCTACGACAAGCGCTGCACTGTGGAGCAGATCAACCTGTTCTTCGAGGCTCTGGAAGCCACGTTGTTTGAAATCACCCAGATCCGGCCCCTGGCCAGCGTCCCCAGCTACGAGCCCCGTGTCATCACTGTCCTCATGACCACGTTGACCAAGCTGGCAGCTCGCAGCCAGGACTTGATTCCCAGGTGAGGAGGGGTGGCAGAGAAGCGTGCAGGGCTGAAGCACAGAGATCTGATGAGTTCAAATGCAAGTATTTGCCACCCTAAATCATAGAATCATAGAATGCTTAAGGTTGGAAGGGACCTCTGGAGGTCATCTAGTCCATCCCCCCTGCACACACAGGGTCACCTAGAGCACGTGGCACAGCGCTGCATGCAAGCGGATTTTGAAGATCTCCAGACAAGGAGACTCCACAACCTGTCTTGGCAACCTTTTCCAGTGCTCTGTCATCCTCACTGTTAGGATCAGACTTGGTAGCTGGTGGAACGGAAGCAGGAGTGAGGAAACAAGCTGTGGAGGAGCATAGTTTGGGGAAGTGGGGTTTGTATGGCGACGTACTCTGTGTGTGAGGAGGAAGGGCTATTCTGCATCTGGTGTTCCCCTGCAACAAACTCTTTTGTGGAACACAGGCTTGAGTAGTGACCTTGCTGGTTGTAAAGGTCCTGCCTACTGAAGACCAGTGTCCTTCTCTCCCACAGAGTGTCCTTGTTCCTGTCCAAGATGAGGATGTTTGTGCAGAACCCTGCTGTCACCTCTGTGTACTGTGAGGAGGACCGTGAGGAGATCCTCATCCGGGCAACTGAGCTCATGAACCTGCTGAAAATGCCAAGCGTGGCTCAGTTTGTGTTCACCCCGCCTGTGGACGTGGCCACTACACCGCTTCAGAGAGATGCAAATGCATCCCTCCCCTTTGCCCTGAGGATCGTCAGCCGGCTCCTAGAAGGGGGCACTGGCTTCATGCCAGGGTGAGAGATGATGGGTTTCAGAGAGGCTCCTGCCTCTGTTGTAGTTAATCTGCTGCTGGCACTCACGGCTGAGGCCCTGCTCTGAACTGGAAGTGAGGAAAATGATTGCACATGAAAACGGGAAAAAGAAGAGCTGAGAAACTGTTCTGGCCCAAGGCTGTTGTGCTTCTCTTTCCTAGTGCTGTCACTTGTTTATGTCTTAGCTCTCCTTAACCACTGTAGATGGAAAATCCCAGTGGGTGTATGTGAATGTGGCAGGAGGGTAAGTGCCTGCAAACCTTGTCCTTGGGAGATGTTCTTTCTTTACCTGCCTGTCCTCTGATTTGTTCCTCCCTGCCCTTTTTCCCTTGCAACACCCTGGTTATGCATGAGCTGCTTCTCTTCCTTCTGTGCTTGTAGCAGATGGGCCAAGCAAAGGTCCATGTGTGGCAGAGATAGCACAAGTGGCTCTGTTAAGTCTGCTATGAGCCTTCGCTGGCCTTTTGTGTCACCAGCACAGTGAACGTGTCAGGAACCAAGATACACCCACCAGACAGGAGTGAGAGAGATTTATTGATCCAGTTTATTGTTGACACCAAGAGTATTTCTTAGCACGCATCAGCCCCATGTCAGACAGGTGTCATGCTGTGTTCTGCATCTGCACTACAGGTTTATACACATTCCAGCTGTACAGTATTAACAGGTTGGGGAAATAAGTATGTCACACTGCTCCTCCTCGGAGAAGCAAGCCCTCATGCACGCTAGGAAATAGCAGGGTTTATTTACAATTTGTTTAAATACCTCACTGCCCTGTGAGCAACACAGAGCTCGAGGGCTGTCTCCCGTTTTGGGGGTCAGTCCCAGCAAGACGCAGAGGGAGCCTGGACTCCTCCGAGCCCTCCCTCCTGGGCAGAGGGAGATGAGGAGAACGTGCAGCTGCCCAGGAACTTGTTTATCCCGGTGAGCGATACGTTTATCCCAGCCCTTGGCGTGGTGGTGCCCCAGGCTTTCGGATGTGAGCGTGGCCCAGCAGGAGAGCAAGGCACTAGCAGTTCAGTGTAGGTGCTTTGTCCATTTTGCCCTAGCAAAGGCAGTCCGGGGTGCATCCAAATCCAGTCACCTGCGTGTTCCCACTGCACGTGTTATTTTGATACCGCTCTCCTTCTGCTACCTGTGAAGTGCAGCACTAAAAGCACGGGAACCAAACTGTAGCCATGAAATATCTAAGGTTTAATTAAGGCCAACTTGTTAAGTGCCCCGTTTTTAGCATGGCAGTCCGTGGAGAATCGCTGCTGTGAAGTGCCACGCTGGTATCTAATCTGCTGCAGAGCCTGGACCGTGCTGGCTGGTTAAGTGCAGGACATAATGTAGGGCTTTGTGGTAGTCTGTTTTAATAGGGTTCAGCCGAACTAGGCCTCAGTCTCTGTCTATATGTGGAAATGAGGTCAGGTTTATCCCGTTAATGTTGCTAAAAGCACACAGAGCTTATGGGGCGTGGGGGGCTGTGTGTGCAGGGGCCCAGGCAGCCGCACGGTGGAGCTGCCACCTCGGCTCTGCTGACACCCTTCCTGCTGGCAGCAGGTGGGGGACGAGTCATCCTGCCCTTCGAGAGGAACCTTTGTCACCTGTCAGCAGCAAACGCTGCTGATGTGCTCTGAGCTCGGCAGGAAACAGGGTGGCCTGGGAGAGCTGCAGGGAGAGGAGCGGGACATGGTGCGAAGACGTTGTCTGTCCGGGTGTTGTCACACTTCTGGTTTGGGACCACACGTCGCCGGTGACAGCAGGCACAGGCCCTCCAGGCCCAGGATGGAGGTGCATTAACCAAAGGGGCAGCAACACCTGAGTGGGACCTGCTTGCACGTGCCCCCCGGACTGGCCCTGCGTTGAGGAGTTGGGCGCTTCTGCCTGGAGCGAGGTGCCGGAGCTGGGCAGCAAACCTGGCGTGCGGGAGGGCAGAGGAGAGCTCTTCTCCCGAGGGCTGTTCCCCAGGCCTCGCAGGGACTCGCTGCGGGAGGCAGCCCCGTTTTCCATGTGGGAGCTCCATTTTCCATGTGGGAGCTCCATCGCGCCCGGCAGCAGTAAGGCACTACGGCTCCTCCCTCAGGCAGCAGCAGCGGGATGGCAATGGCCTGCTTGGGATCCTGTGCCATGGAACGGCGGTTCGTGGCCCTCGTGGAAGCCTCCGGATTCCAAGGGTGTCTCAGGTCTGTCATCCGCCAGCAGCAGAGCATGGGAGAGCTGGAAGGTGCCCCCCGGCCCTGCGGCAGAATGGGAAATCTGGCACCAGGCTGTGACCGGGTGGAGTGGAGGTGCCCTCTCCAGGGGGCACGTCCCCTTCCTGCCCTCTGCCACAAGCAGCATAAGAGCAGGAGGAATCCCGAGAGGGAAGACACGGGGCATAAGGTGAGGCCGGCAACGGATTAGGGAATGATGCTCCCAGCCAGCGCCATGGGAGAAGTTTGCAGCATCCTTGCGTCTCCTTCCACCCCTGGCAGGAGGCAGGGCAGGGCTGGAGTCCCAGTTCTCCCTCCTGCTGTCCAAGGGCTCAGCCCTGCCCAGGGCTGCACCCAGAAACCGCTGCAGAACAACCCTCGTACCACCAGCACTACAAGGAGGGAGAGGAGCTGGAACTGATTTTTTTGGCTATTTCCATGTCTGACTTGGCAACCAGGAACCGCAGCTTCTTCCCTCCGGAGCGGATCAGATCCACGGCACTGCAGAGACCAGCAACAGGGCACAGTGAACACCGGCTCTCCCTGCACCTCCCCGTGCTCACAGTTCCCCCCGCGTCCTCTCGCAAACACCCCGTCTCACCACCCCCAGGTTGCTGCTTAGGTAGCTCTGCTCTCTAACGCCTGCCCTTGCACTGGCTCCGATGTTTTATTTGCTATGAGTAGCAACAGCCACCAGCAGACCGGGCATCTCCGTGCCACGAAACAGCCAAAAAATGGGGCCTCGGCGCTCGCCTCCCACTCCCCTCTGGTAGTCGGCGCCGAGGAGGCTGGTGCCGTTGACGGCCAGGATGCGGTCCCCGAGGGAGAGGCGGCCGTCGGCGGCCGCGGGGCTGGCCGGCACCAGCGGGCGGATGTAGATGCCGGGCGAGCAGAGTGGCGTGTGCTGGGGACAGGGACGGGGGTGAGCGCCCAGCCCGGCCCCGGGTGACAAACCCACGGTCGGGACAGCAGCGCTAGCAGGGCCAGCTGGGAAAGAGCAGCCTGCAGCTTGGTGGTCCCACTTGGACATGACAAGGAGCATGGGGTGATCTTGCTGAGGCGGCAATTAGAGGCACCAGGTTAATGAGCCCCACACCCTGCCTGGAGCTCCTTGCTCCAGGATGGGGCTGAGCGATGCCCCATTTCCTACAGCCTAGTGCACTGCCACGCAGGGCCGCTTAATAAGAGACCCATCGTGCTAAACCAGAGCACAGCCTGTCCCTCCTCCGAGCAGTGGGGCTGCCCCAGGGGCCTCCAGCA